CGCCGGAGCCCAGCAGGTCGTGGCCGGGAGCGGCCACTGCACTCCAGTCTGGGTGACAGAGTGAGATTCCAACTAAAAAAAAAAAGAAAAAGAAAGAAATATCTCAATCTGTGTGTTGGCAGACACCATGCAAGGCAAATAAAACACATTTGGTTGGAAGGTCACTAGTTTGCCATTTCTGGTCTAGAGTTCACCCATTTTGATTCCCAGCACCTGGAACAGAGCCTTGAATATAGTAAAAGCTCAGCACATATTTATTGAATAAATGAATCAATGACTTGAAAGCCAAACCCATTTAGAGTAAATTATGCTATGCTATACCCAAAATGCAAAAAGATCTGAGATTCTAAACATGCTTTTTCATAAAAACGGGGGGGGTTTCACCAGGCATGGTGGCTCATGCCTTTAATCCCAGCATTTTGGGAGGCAGAGGCGAGATGCTTGCTTGAGCCCAGGGGTTCGAGAGCAGCCTGGACAAATTGGCGAGAACTTATCTTTACAATAAATAAAAAAATTAGCCAAGTATGGTGGCACATGCCTGTGATTCCAGCTACTTGGAAGGCCGAGGCAGAAGGATGCCTGAGTTTAGCAGGTCAAGGCTGAGGTGGCCTTGAGCGTGCCTGAGCCTAGGAGGTAGAGGTCAATTCCAAAAAAAAAAAAAGGAAGAAAGAAAAAGAAAAAAGAAAAAAAGGAAAGGCAAGAAAGAAAAAAATATTGGCTGGGGATTGATTTTGGAGGGCTTTGAATTGCAGACCACAGGTCTTGTAGTTTAATTTTAATTTTAATTTATTTTAGAGTTGGAGTCTCACTCTGTCGCCCAGACTGGTGTGGGGGGTGGCACGCTCCTGGCCACCGCAGCCTCGACCTGCTGGGCTCTGGCAATACTTCTGCTTCAGCCTTCCAAGTAGCTGGAACTACAAGGCGTGCGCTACCACGCCTGGCTAATTTTTTATTTATTGTAGAGATGAGGTCTCGCCAAGTTGCCCAGGCGGGTCTCGAACCCGCGCGCTCAGGCAATCCACTCGCCTCAGTCTCCCAAAGCGCGGGATTACAGGCTGAGCCATCAAGCCCGGCTTCTCTTTTATTTTTATTTTATTTATTTCTATATATTTTTAGAGACGAGGTCTCGATATATTTTCCAGGCTGGAGACCTCCTATCTTAAAATAATAACTAAAAAATAAAAGAAAACAATGACATCAACCAACAGCCCCTCGGCCCCTTCAGGCCCCACCCAAGTTTCCTTTCCAGTCCCTGTCCACGTCGCCTGGGAACCTGCTTTCTCCCGGCAGGAGTTTCTGTAGGGTATCAATCTTTTGGGGCACCCAGCTCCGCACTACTGAACATTCTGATTGGGGGGATCGCTCACATGTGCTCTGACGGGCTGCTCTGATTGGCCAGCAGCCTGCCGCCCGCGCAAGGTACGGAGGGCGTTTCCTGGGCTACGGAGCCCGCGAGCAGGCGGGCGGAGCCTGAAGGCCCGTGGCGCCTTGCCCTAAGGGGGAGCTGGGTGCGGCGCGCAGGCCGTCATGGCCAGCGTCCACGAGAGCCTCTACTTCAACCCCATGATGACCAACGGGGTAGTGCACGCCAATGTGTTCGGTATCAAGGACTGGGTGACGCCGTACAAGATCGCGGTGCTGGTGCTGCTGAACGAGATGGGCCGCACGGGCGAGGGCGCCGTCAGCCTCCTGGAGCGGCGGAGGCTCAACCAGCTGCTGCTGCCGCTGCTGCC